TGTTGTGCTTGACGGCGAGACTTCGTCGAACGAAGAGAGAGAAAGAGAGAACGAGAGAGGTGTCGAGGAAAGTTTCAACTACGGTATCGACACTGTTATCAATCCACGCGCCTGCGACAGTCGCGCGCCTCTTGTCGTGGATTATCCCGATAAAAGATAAACTTCGTGGGCGATAAAACTACGCGGGGAAAAATTCAGGTTCACCGTCGGGCAGATATCCGTCGCGCGGCGATAAAAGAAAGGACGAGGAGTCTCTCCGCCATCCCAGTGAGTAGAACGCGACAGTATGCACTCCGATGCACCTGCAGCTGCGTGTGACACTTACGTTCACATATTTTATAAAACTTTTTTTCTCCCCCTTGTACCTACGCTGCACAATAGAAACCCTCTTAATATATATATATATATATATACATATCCATTTATACATACACATAAAAGCCTTTGCTTCGTATATTATATCTACCTATAACTATACAAACGAAAATACCCATAGCCTAAAGACCCTCTATAATCAGAGTCTGGACACAAGTCGTTTTTTATATGTAGGATCTCTAGTTTTAGTAAAATCACAAAAAGAGGGACATACATTTCTTTGATTACTTCTTTCTCTTTTTATTCTCTCTCTCTCTCTCTCTCTCTCTCTCTCTCTCTCTCTCTCTCTCTCTCTCTCTCTCTACTCTCTCTCTGTCTCTCTCTCTCAGAAATTGCTTAAACATAACGGGTCAGTCAAAGTGATTGTATCTTGATTCTAAGGGTGGTATTTATAGTCTGTTCTTATTTTAAGACCGTCTTAAGCTGCTAGTGTCTTAAGATGCTAATGTAATACGGCTGTCAGATTATGACATTTTAAGACTGCATTTAAGACGTCTTAAATATAAAATATGAATACCAACTATGAATATCGGCCTAAGAATCTCTAGTCCGAACAAGTGTAGGGGAGTAATTATCGCAAGCAAAACAATGTTAAAATGTTAAAAGTAAATCATAATTGATTTTTCAATTATGATTTATTTCGACAAAAATAACTTTTAGAAATCATTTTGAAACTATTTTGACATTATTTTGATGTTATAACTTGGGTTAGCTTGTGTTCTGCTTGGAATAGCTACCCCTTGCTCTCGTCTAGACTATAGGTATTTTCGTTTATATGCGGTATAATACACAAAGCAAAGGTTGTTAAGGACTAGAGACCTTCAGCTCAACTAAGACCTTCGAGTAAGAGTCTGATCACAAGACAAACATGGCGACAATATTTGATTCTGTACTGTAGAGTATAATAAATTACGTAAGATTTACGTTGTCTATTTTATATACTCTGCAATACACATACACGTAAAGGACAATTTGCTGAAAAATCTATAAATTTAGTTAGATACAGAGAGATCTAAAGACAATTTTATTGGACTATCAAAATAACTTTGTACAATCTCAAGCACGATGAATAATGTTGCACAAAATTTTGATATTCTCAGCAGTTAGCATTTAAGCGTACTTACATAATTATTTAGATGATCTGACACAATTATGTGCAGATTCGTATCTAAAATTTTAAATACTTGAGTGAAACCATTCTTTTCGTGTAAATCATTACCGCCATATTTGTCTCGCGAAAAAAATATCGCGTGACTAGTTTCTTATTTGAAAGTCTCTAATTATGATGGGAATGCAGCGAAACCAGAATATTTTCTTCCCGTTAACTTTGCGGAATTAGTACCGGGAATTTGAATTGTGGCACATAGCTTATCCTCTACGACGGGACGGTGGAATTGTCGCAAGCACAGGAGGGAAAGCCGGAAAATCGTTTAAGAGTAAATGACGTTTTATTAATGGCCCCCTCGGGTCCCTTGGCCGTCGCTTATAACGTCGCACCGTTAATTCTCTCACAAGAGGGACGAGTTTAGCGCACGGCATGTCTGAAAGTTTCAGTGTGGCAATACCGACACAAAAGCGGGATGTCCAAGCGAAAGAAGATACAGAAAAAGTGAAAGAGGATAGGATGTACTGATAAAAAATGAATAATCGGCTCGCGCGAGAACGATCAGCTGCCGCGCTTTTTGTCGATTCTACGATAGTTTGTCGTGTGTAAAGTTTATCGGCATAACCCAACGTTTGAGAGATGCACAGTTCGGAAGCCGATCAACGTTAACGTTGAACCCATAGCCAGGTCGATGCACCGTGAAAAGCGTAGGACTTTCCACCGGTGACACGACCCTTCGCTTTGCCTGAAGGTAAAGCGAAGAGCCATAAAAGGACAGCCGATCAGCTTTCGTCTGCTTCGGTCGGCAACCAGGTAATCCAACGGCGTTGTTTGACCTCGTAGAAAAAAGCCACTGATATTTATCTGGTGTACTGCAATTGCTGTTGTATATAAGAATACAGAGATATTTAAATATCTATCCACATTGATAAAAATAATTTTGTTTTACCTATATATAAGAAAAAAAAGAGTAAATAAATTCTCGATATTTAAAATATTTGTAACAGAGTCCGGTGAATGAGGGTCAAGCGCTGTATTTGTGTGCGCACACAAGATCACATATTCATTTAATACTTCAATTAAAATTTCAAATATTGCGGTTACAATTCGTGTCATTCTCGACGCATATAATCGTTCCCACACTCCCGCGTTTCATCAATTAAAGCCAAGTCGTCACTCTGGCGCGCCATTCTTAATAATTCTTAATAATCACAAATTACAGTGTTAAAAATGGCATCTCTAAAGTGACGGCTTGGTTCTGATCTGAGAGCGTGGAAGTTATAAATGATTACTCTCTGAGAACGGCACGAATTATAGCCGAAACGTTCGAGATTTTAATTTGAATATTAAATATATGTGAATCTTGCGCACGCGAATTACAGCACCTGATATCCATTTGCCGATTTTTGTGTAAACTAAAGTTTGCATAAAATTTTGGTACATTTGTCTCTTTTAATTATTATAAATAACAACGTTTACGCGAAATAAAGAGAAGTAAACGAAGGTATAACGTTAATTTTTCAAACATATGTAAATAAAGGATGCGCGTCTAGATGAGGAGATAGGAAAGTCCCAAAATATAGGAACAAGGATACGAATGAGATCAGTCGATCATCAAGAAGAAAAGTTATATAATTTACCAAATACCGTCGTTCATGCAAATTACGTTGGTGTCCCGTGAACTCAGCGTGATACGAAAACTTACTTCCGAAGACGATGGCGGTTAATTTCGGCGAGCGAACACGAAAGTTGGTAACGATATTCGTCTAGATAACGTCGAGCAGAAAACCTCGTTGTCGTAAGTAATGGATGTCAATCGAAATAGAGATCCGTAAAATCGGCGAACCGAATATTTATTTATCTGATGTTTAACCATCGGTTAACAAGAGCAATTATTCGTCGATAACGGTAAGTAGAATGTATAAAAATATCGAATACAATGTGAACATGCAATTGTACAATAATATAAAGAACGGAATAATAGAAGGGAGACAGAGATTTTCAAACTATTAAACTTTTGTCAGTTGAATTAAAGCGAAACAAGATCAGGGACGCGTTGTATTGTCTAAACGTCTCAAAGAGCGAGAGCGGTGCAGATACGGAACGGTCCGTTGTGTTGAAGGAGAGCACGAACAAAAGCGCGACGGCGGTATTTTTTCCTTTTTCCTATTAAATAACCGAGCCCCCCGCTGCCACATCAGTCTCCGGGGATAAGATTCATAACCGTAAAGCGGCTTAACATTTGTCCACGGTGAAGCGTGCTGGATGTCCATGGTGGAACTCCAAATACATTTCCGCCATTCTGTTCCAGGCGGTCTACCTCAATTTCAACGTTGCATATTGCATAGGTAGCTGAGCTACAATATCCGCGAAACATTGTTTAACGTAGTGTATGAATACATATCCAATTATACAGAATACTTTTGTAAAAATTTAATTTCCCGCAAATGTAATTATATTCTCGAGAATGCGCAAACATAATTTGTATCTCATCCGGTAAAAAGATCCCTTTCTCATTACTCATTTCGCGTTTTACGGGAGAGCTACTTTAAATCGAGAGACTTTTCAGTCGTATGAATGTGGGAATGGGTTTAAGGGTTAAACGTTAGATATACACTCGCGAGAGAGATTAAGAAAACCGAGGATCCGGAAGGGGCTCGAAAAATTTATTTAGAAGCCGTGCCGCTGTATGAGAAATTTGCGCGTTATACAAACTAATGAGAGCGACATAAGGCGACTTCGATATTTGAAATTATGAAATCTGCTCGCCCAAGTACAGAGAAATTCAGAGAGAAAATAAAATGTGGAAATTAAGGCGATGAGGGCAATTACGGAGCAGCGAAGCTCTCTTTAATGATTATTAACGAGCGCGTGATGATCGTGGCGGGTTGGGAAACGCTCCGGTGCGCAACCTGACACGCGGTTACGGACGGAACGCGATGTTTAAAGTTTCCGTAGACGGCTGACAGGAGACAGGACGCGAGTCCGAGGTCGCGTGCCATTCAACCCCCGGCGAGGAGAAAGGGGAGATGACGATGTCGTGTAAGAAGCGTGAAATTTGTCCGTGCTTGCGGGACGAGTAACAATTGCGGAGTCTTGTCGCCGCATAGGACACGCATATAGAAAGTCGACGCGACTCGGCGGTAGAAGAAAGAAAGAAAAAGAGAAATGCGACGCGGAGTGCAGGAAGAAAAATTCGGAACGGCAGAGCTGCGCGACGTGGCGCGACGCGAAGCGAAGCGGAGCGGAGCGCGCAAAGCCGTATAGCGCGGGGAAAAGGAAGGCGCGCGGCGGAAAAGGCAGAAGGCCTCGAGGAAGGAGGAGGCTGACTGATCGCCGCCGGAGTATAGAGGAGAGAGAGCACGCCTGCGCGGAATCCCCGGGCGGGCGCGGGCAGTGCCACCGGAGGCCCGGCGGTTTCAGAGCTTCGCCCGGGACGACGAACCGCGGACGAGCCGAGTACGGGAAACCCGGTCGCGTTTCACAGTACGACCGACCGATCCACACCGCGTATACCGTGCGTCCGTAACGACGAGGGGTACAGCCGCGGGGTAAAAGAAAGGGAGGAGGTGGGGAGGGGTGGCCCGATTGAACGCAGGCAGACCGCTTCGTGACCTTGGTGCGCGCGACACTTAACATCTTCTTCTGGAGTAATAAAGAAAAATTTAATCGGTATCTCGTGCAAGTCCAGGGTCGGATACGAGGAGTACCTGGTGAATCCCGCGCGCGAATCACCGCCCACGAATCAGACCGTATCTCGGCCTCGTTCCGAGACACAATTGCAATCGCGAGTATCCAAACAGCGAGATAATGTGATATCGGAGTGTTTTCGAAAAAGAAGAAAGAGAGAAGGGAAGTCACACAGAAAGAGAGTAAAGGAAAATCGGTGAATGCACAATAAGAGCGCAACGACGGGGGGGTTGCAACAAGAGGGTTGCAACGACGGGTAACGCGGGAGTATGCGCGGGTCCTGGTAGCACCGGCTGCTGTCGGAGGATGAACGGGACGACGACGAAGGATTATTAAGTGGAGGAGCGCCGAGAGAAAGAGGTGGTGCATCGCGGTGTTCCATGAGATGTCAGTGGACCCGTTATCGGGGACAGTTACGCCGTCGTCGTCGTCGTCGCCGTTGTTGTTGTCGTCGTCGTGATCACCATGAGGAGGTCCTCCTACGTCAACTACTACGTCCTATGCCTCGTGTGCTGGATCCTACTAGGCATTACCGGTAAGCCTCATCATCAGATCTCAGGGAGATCGGCGCACGATCGGCTTGTCATACGCAGTTGACAAAAAAGAAACATACATTTCTACTGCGACGCGGCGGATCCATGAAACAGATGGCGGCGTCGACATATCGGTCAGGTCGAGAGGAAAATGCTGTCAGGAGGGGATGCTGTAAATAGCGATTATACTCGATTCATGCGATACACGTAGATAGACGAGTGGTGATCGAATTATCGAACATCATCGTACAATTTGCGAGGAGGCGGGGCGGCTCCATGGAACTAATGCCGCGGATGGATCGATCAGATTTTGGGGTGTAGCAGTACGTTGCATATCCTCTCCCTCGCGCCCCGCATGCACTTACGAATGTACGTACCGCGCACTCGTGCGCGTTTCTCCCGCTGTCGCGAATACCGGCGGATACCGAGTGTGGAGATCATACCGGAGGGGGAGGATCGAGGATACGCGAGAATAGATAAGGACTACAAAGGACGGAGACGACCAAGGGGGGAGACGCAACCTCCGGTCCCGGTCCAGGACCGTATCTAGCGCCACCCTTGTTTGTCGCGCGCCGCAGCATTGTGCCTCCCTCCACACTTGCTCTCTCTCTCTCTCTCTCTCTCTCTCTCTCTCTCTCTCGCTCTCTTGCTCTCTCGCTCTCGCTCTGTCCCCTTTTCTGCTTTTCTTTCTCCCCTTCGCACTCTCGACATCCTTCTCTTTGTCCACCTTCCTCCACCCTGTGTCTCTCTGCGGGATCAGCAGCGTGTCATCTCGATGATTCCGTCATCACGGGACGAAGCTGAGGAGAGAGACGAACGCGTCCCCCCTTTCCTCCGTGGCGTCGTTCAGGAACGTGTCTATCGATTTCATCTCGCGCGGCTGCATCACCGCGATGCGGTCGTGCTTTAAAACTCGCTGAAACAGAAGCGTCACAGCGTCGTTCTGGAGAGTGCACTCATGCATTCTGCGAGTACATGTTATCTGCGAGAGATAGCCTAGCTACTCGTCGAGACATCTCGGCAGGGAGAAACTGGGCGATTTTTGCATCTCTTCTTTAAACATGAGTTTGATCCAATCTTTCGGAAACAGAAAGCTTTCTCGAGTAGCTCGCAAGAAACAACAATTTCCAGTAAAACTGTTCCTCTGTTGAATGTAACGTGCCTTTGATTGTAGAATTCAGTCTATTATGAATCATAAAAGATAAGCTCTCCTTTCAAGAAGAGTGCGGAGAGCTTTTGCTCCGACGGAAAGAAACGACAGGCCAACTTAGAAGGTGGAATTACCTTCTGAAAACGATTTCCCGATTGAATGGGATATACGATTTCGCTAAGCGTGTCAGCGTTTAACCGCGATGACGCAGTCATTCGCAAAAAAATATCCGACGCGTTTTGGGTCTCTTAAAGAATGATCTCGCTCCACAAGCCTGCTTCTTCTGTGAGGCGTGATCAATTCTGGGAGCAACGGAGCGCGAGCGGAAAATCCGAAGCGCCGATAAAATCGGATTATCGCCGTCGGACTCGTCTGCGTTCGTATAGCCGCGCGGAAAAAGCGTCAACTACGACAGTCGGTCGATGCAATTGGTTTGCACGGCCGTTCCTCGAATAATTACTCGACGAGCTCTTGCCTAAGGATCGGTGCAGTTTGGTCCGCCTCCCCCGCTGGCAGTAAACCACTTGGAAAGTATGCTAACTGTTCTCGACGATGAGAGATACTACGAGGAGTTCGTAGTTTCAGAACTGGTAATGGTGGGTTTATCCTGACATCACTCTCGCCGATACATTATACACTTTCGATCCGTACAGTACTCGCACACAAACGCGTGCAGTGGAGTGCGCTACACAACCGCTGATTATACTTCGCCACGGTGATTAACCGTTCATTCCCCTAGAAACGGAGAAGTTCGACGTGCCTATCATCGCGCGACTGGCGCAACTCGGGGCGTAACTACTGCCTCGAGAGAGATGCTACGGCTCCTTACACGAAATCGCGCTCGTAGCACTTACGAAGATTTCTCGACACATAAAATAAATTTGCAGACCGTGATGCAACTTGAACGAGTTCGTAGGCTTCGCTGAAAGCGTTCAGGAAATTGCATCTATCAGAAAACAATCAAATAAACTAAAACACTTGCTAGCTGATTCTTGGTAATAAATTTTATATCGATATTTTGTACAGAAGTAAATTAAGTGCAGACAGAAAAAGATTATCGTACGTGTGTTTCATGTCTTTTCATGTCTGTATCAAAATGTAAACGGATCTTATCGTAGGGTAAAAAGAATCAGAGCGACCTCGCCACGGATTCCTGAGTCTATTTCGGTGTACGTCCGTCGTGTGGGAATTATTATATAAAATCATATCACGTCGGTGAGAAATAATCCTTCAGAAGCTAAAAAACTGGGATTTATGTGGTAGTTTAGTACACGATGACATCGTAAAACTGCACGGGCATGCGTACGTGTTGTTCTGACAAAGTGGGAAAGGAAACAGCAGCCCTGCCGGACGCAGCTCGAGTCTCCTCCATACATCGGACGGCATTGTCTCTCGGGAAATATACGATTTTAGATCCGCCTTCTGTTTCCGAGAAATTTACTTCTTCCGTGCTTCTCCCTTCGCGCCGCCCGCGATCACGTCCCATCACGCTCGATTACGCAGCAGGGAGACACCTTATCGCGACTTATTGCTGCGTGAAGCGGAATAGATTTATACAGCAATATACTTTCTCAGATTTTTATAACAGTTTTCATACCTTGGCAGGTACAGGTCTCTTCGAAGATGCCACTCCTACATCTCTGTTTTACGGTAACGCTTTCGACCGATTAGCAGCGGGTTTGATCCCGAAATGGACTTAATGACTGTTATTGGTAGAGCACGTAACGTCATTAATTCAGCTCAGATCGGTTGAAACCCGCTGGGGAAAAACGTTATAACGTTCTTTTTATTCAGTACCGCAAAGTCGTACCTTGATAGAAACGATAATCGAAACGATTCTACCTCACTGTTTCCCTCGTATTTTTTTATACCTTCGGCAAACGGTCTATTTCCCCTTCAATGCCCTCTTAAATAATACACAATCGAGAATATCGTGTCGTCGTCCGGCTTTTATCGGAATCTCCGGGACGAACGTGATTTCCACGCATCCCTCGGGAGTTATGGGAGCGGCGCAAACCGACTTACAAAACGTCGACATGAATAATGCAGCCGCTAGTCCCTCGTCGTATTTATGTGTCCAGCGCCTACCGCGATAAACCTAAGCTCTTTCAGTTATTCATCAATGAGCCTGGCCTAGTGCGTTACATTGCGAAATTACATGCTTCACGTCGACGTACATCTTGCCGCGATAAAACGCGTCACTCTCTCCCCCTTATGCCCAAGTGCTCCTTCGCCTGATTTAATCTCAAGATAAATGTGACTGTATTACGCACCCCTGAGGAACGATATCGCGCGCGACCTTTGCGCAACTCGCCGCACGTCGACATGAAAAATAGGTTTGGGGCGGCGTAGGCAGCATCTAGCGAGCACCTATTTGTGCCCCCTTTCGTGGTAGGCAAATGATCCTAACTCGGTGGCGAGGGTACAATCTCGCGGCGACCGACAGGGGCGCGTGCGCGCAGCTGCGCAGATTTTACGTCCCTCAAGATCAAGAGGATCGACTGTATACGGGAGGAGGACCGGTAGCAGCCCCCAGACATGAATTCGTATCTCCGGCACATTTGACAATACACCACTCGTAGCAGCGCACTGATTGGCAATCTAGCTCTCTCTCGGTTCGCACGAAAACGTGTCGGCCGGATGGATTTGTCGGCTACGGAATCACGGGGATACAGTTACGACGTTTCTGGAACGATGTAATTTCGAATCTGGGATAAAGGGAAGACGTTTTCGTCGCGACGGTTTTAACCGCGAACGATGATCAAAATCACCAATCGCTTTCGAGCGTTACGCCGTATTATCGTAATGCGATAAAAACGAAAAAAATGTAAAGAAGATTTAACTTCAGAACTTGTGTGTGATGATTTTGTAATCCTTCGTTTGAATTTTTGCTCGAAAAGAAAACGGAGAGAGAGAGAGAGAGAGAGAGAGAGAGAGAGAGAGAGAGAGAAATTTTTATTCTCTCTTGAAATCAAATAAAAAGTAGATCAATGAAAATCCATGCCACCATTATTGTTTATTCTAGCTCGTCGATTAATCGTCAAGATTAATTTTTGATTCATTGCTCCGCATTTAGTTTGACTGAAACAATAATTAGCGCCGTTGCAGCGACTGTGATTTTCATGCGCATAAGTAGAACAATCGATGCGCGATAAGCCGTACCGTGTGGAGTGAGGTTTACCATCGTGTACAGGCGCGATTTCATATTTACTCCTTATCTCGTCGCGCGTTTATCACGCTGCTGATCTTAATTAAGCGTAATTATCACTAGCTTTGTCGTTTGTCAAAGTTTCGGCGAATCTTGATAGCACAACGACATATTCTCGCTTCTTGCTCGAGTGCCTTCGCGGCATTAACGGCGTCAGCTATAAACACGATTCTGCTAATTAGTAAAATAATTAGTCGCATTTAGTCAGCAGATCAAAGTGAAAAGGCAGAAGTGAACGGCCAGAAAATGTACTCCGAGCGAGGGAAACATCTCGGAGCAATTTATTAATTAGCGTTTCTCTTAAACGTTTCAATCTAACTCCTCTGTACATAAAATATTCCTTTATCCTAATTGAGATTTTCACACTTGGCGCGACGAACGTTCCTCAAATTATTGGTCACCGTAACGGCCGTCGCGCCGTGCAAATCCGGATGATCGTTCGTAGGATTTCACGCTCTACCGATCGAACTTTAAGATCGGATGTGATATCGTCAAGGTCGTTGGAACGAAGCCCACGTTGCTCTTTCCCCTCTTCCCCCTCGAATGCTGATCCGCCTTCAGATTTCCCAGATCGGAATCCCTGGGATTAGTATCCATTTCCCTCGGGCACGGCACCTCAGCGAGGTCTTCTCCACGATAGGATTTATTCCGAATAGCGTCGCGAGCGAGCGAATACGGCACACGAATGCGAAATAGTCCCTTCTCCGAGGTCTGCTACGCCTTATTATTCCATTGCGACGGCTAACGTCGCTACTTCCATGTTAATTCGCCGCATAACGTGCCGACGCTAGGATGAGTTATACGAACGTTTTAAAGGCGCATCACCACGATAATTCGTGTAGTTCACGCATTCACGATATATTTTAGCGAAAGAATATGCATTTCCGTATTCTCCGCATTGCGCCGTTTTTTGTTTTTTTTCGGCCGTCTCCGTGATCGCATGTATAACGACACCACCCTGACACACGCGAGACATTTTTCTGAACACGTTCTTTCAGGGGTAAGTACGAGATCTCATTCGCTGGTGAAGAGATTCGACGGGATTTACACGGGGCCTTACTTCGACTCGAACACTCCAACGAACATCACGGCGCAGTTGGGCACTCATGCTTACCTACCGTGCAAAGTGCGGCAGCTTGGTAACAAATCAGTAAGTTATCTGACCATATAATAGGTCTGTTTTTTTATTCCTGCTAGACTGCACTAGAATTCTCTCTCTCGCTTTCCCCAAAAATATCAAACATGTATATCTATCTCACTTTAAGTTCTAAAAGTGTATACTAGTTTAGCTACAGAAAATAAATACTTAATAAATTTCGGTATAAAAAGAACTGTGAGCGCCAAAAATGAAGAGAGCGCTCTTTTCTCGAAGAACGAGCGAATATAAATACGGAAATAAAAATTAATCTTAATTACGTGAAAAACGCTTCACGGTAAATTTTATACCCTATATGTTATCATTAATTCTCGAGCATTAAGGGTGTTGTGATTTCATATTGTATATCAATACGACTGTCATCGCGCCGTCGATTTGAGATCTAATTTATCCATGTCATAAAGTTCCCCGCATCTTTGGTAGAAGTTGCCTTACGCTTTACGTGTATTGACAATTTGATTTATTAACGTATTTGTCAAATAACATAATAATGGCCAAATTCCTATGTGACAGTTACGACAATGGAACTCCATTTAATATTAATGACAACGCTGAAAAAGAAGGAAAAATTGTTAAAACTGAGTCGAGGAGACAATTTCCCCGTTCCCAATCTCTCTCGAATATACTGAAATGATAATGATAGTTATATTAACTGCTTTAATGAAGTAGTTTTAATTAACTGTTCGGTTATAATATAATCAAAGAAATTTGATAACTATTACTAAATAGTTTAATAGAGATTTGGAAAATTGATAACAAAGCTAGATGGTTATTACCAAATCGTATATATAAATATAACCAAACGAATTGGCAAATATATATATAGCTAAATTGCTTGCTAATAAATATCGAATAATATGTGGTAGACATTACTAAATCAATTTATCATAAATATTAAATAATTTGTTTTCTTAGTTATTTGATTTAATGAATACAACCAAATTGTTAAATTATAATTACTCTGTATGTATATAATAGTTATCTAATTCATTTTGAACAAAATAAATTTGATAATTGTTATATACATTTTGCTAACTATACAGAAAAAACGATATAAGATATGTTCTTTTTAGCTGAACTTTTACACAGTTCATCTTTTTTTCTTTTTCTCTTTAATGTGAAAAGAAAAAGAAGAAAAATGAGCCGTGCAAGAAGTTCAGTTAAAAAGAACAGACTTATAACGTTGACATTTATATAGATAACTACTTGTCTGAGCTTCAGTCATATAGACTTGGTCGTATAGAAAGCTCAACTAAATTTTACATGAGAAACGACATTATTTAGTGGCAGTCCTAAAATGTCCTGATGACGGTATTTATAAAATATTTTTAGGCGCTTATTTGCATCAAATAATCTGATCATTATTATCAAATCAATTAATAAATCGAGCTTTGGATAATTTGACTATAATTATCAAACAGTCGATTAATATTATCAAAAAATTTGGTTTTAAGTATCTAAATTATTCAATTGAACCAACTAAAAACGTGAATTTTATTTTCTTAAATATTTAATAATTGTTATCACTATTATTATGTTTAGTAATATTCATTAAATATTGCGCCAATACACACAACAAAATACATTTGGTAGCTATTATTATATTTTTTTCTCAACAGACTATTTCGTTGTTCACGCGTGAACGAGTTAATTTATACGCATGCGTCCATTCGGATTTATTTTATTATTAACGGCAAACTACTGGATTACGATCAACACATCAAAGCGAAGTCCAGAGTTATGTCCGGTATCAATCATTCGTTTCACTAATGTCCCGGGAAAATCGCTGACCTTGGACAGCGATTATTTCTATCAAAGATCCGCAGATAATAAAAGGTCGTAACTAATATATTTCAATCGTTATCGCGTCCTATTTCCTCCATGTCGGATAACTGTCGGCGACAGATAACCCGCCCACGTGTCACGAGCTGTTAAACCGTCCTCCACGATCGGCATTCCCTTTTATCGAATCAATTTATTCCGTTAATAAAACGCCAATCTGCTAATGATTCGCGGTTTATTCCGCTTTTTTTTTTTTCATTAAGCCTATATTCGCGTTGCTTGTGTATTTTTTGCACTCGGCATTTTCTTTCCCTCTCGTTATCGTCAAAAAAATATATTTATTATCAAAATATATTGTCTTCTTTTAAGTGCAAAAATCGTGGGGGGATTTCGCGAGCAACGCGAACAGACCTCTTCTCTGTCTCCGCTCGTAAAATCGGTAATTAGGAGTCGGTGTGTAGCGAAGGGATGGTTTCGCGGAATGTCGACCATCGTCGTCGGGCGCGTAATAAAATTACCGTCGGCACGCGCGAGTCTAGCTCGAAGCTAGCCCCCGTATCTTTCGTTTACGAACTTTACCAACGTGTACACAGGCGTACTCGCCGTACCCTGGATTGTACAGAATATACGTCTGTCGCTGTTGGCACGTGGACGAGGACTAAGTATCCGGTAACACGCGACCCACGCGTACTTGAGGGGCCCGCAGCCGCCGTCGCCACCGCCTCGATCCTTATCGACTGGCGAATTAAATGTATTCGTACCTCGCCTTCTTTCGACGCAGTAATGTGGTTCGTGGCACCATCTAGATTTCCGTCGAGCGCGCGCAAGCCGTCCGGTCGATGAACGATAAATTAACTGCGACGGGAATGGAAGATTGATCGTCCGGAATCGGAACGAATCGAATGTTCTCATTCTTATTTTTTCTATTGCTTTTTTTTTTAATCACTGTATCTCCCTTCTGTTTCTTATACTTGACAGAACTTTCTTGTTTTTTTTTTACGCACCTCAATTTCATCTGTCTCTCTCGATATCCACTCAGTTGTGAATAATGGCTCGCGATAATCTCGGTGATTCTGACATCAAGTTAATGCGATTAAAAAGGACGGTAAATGGTAAAGAATAAATCTTTCAAATACATTAAGAAGAACATTCTTAGAAGCGTTGTCATAAGAATAGACCGGAAATCTCGACGAATCTCTATGCAAATTAATAAAATTTAAAACCGACGACTACCTGTAAGGGACTATATAAAGATCTCACGCGTGAGGAGAATTCAATGAGTCGTTTAAGACGAACAGAAACAATTCATTTTGGTTAATCCGAAGGTCTCCTGGATCAGAAGAAGAGACTCGCATATCCTCTCGGTGGATAGAACCATGTTCATTCCGGACGAAAGGTTCCAAGCGATTTTCGGGGAGGCGGACACGTGGACGCTGCAGGTGAAATACGTCCAAGCACGCGACGAAGGCGAGTACGAGTGCCAAATCTCGACCGACCCGAAGAAGAGTCACATCATCAAGCTCAACATCGTCGGTGAGCGTCGCGCGGAAGGCGATTATTCTTTCAATTTTTTCGAGTGGAATCTTAATGGGAGTAAAATGTCTGAAATCACTTAAAACAACTTTAAGATATCTTAAAAAATTCTTTAAAAAACGTCTTTAAGATATTTTATAAAGAACTCTAAAAGAGATACCTTGAAGCTGTCTTATGCGTCGATTTTAAACATTTTATTCATTGCGATCTCATTCTAAAGAATAAAAATTGAATCAGTTTTGAAAAAGAGTGGTTCAATTTTTAATCTTTTCAAGGATGAGATTTTACTCTTTAGAGTGAGATGCATTCTGAAAATTTTGAAGAATTTATTAAGCCAAATTATTTATCAGACCACCGGACAACAATATCGAACGTCCGACGTGTTACAGTGCCAAAGATCGAGATCTTGGGGGACCGTGACATGTACGTGAAAACCGGCAGTACAGTCGCAATACGATGCGTAATAAAGCAATCCCTCGAGGGCCCGTTCTACGTTTTCTGGTACCACGAGGGCGATCGCGTTCTAAATTATCAGCTGGGCAAGATCGATATTCAGACGAAGAGGATCGAGCAGGATACGGTGAGCAGTCTCGTGATCCACAACGCGAGACGGGAGGACTCGGGTAACTATACTTGCAGCCCGAGTAACTTGGATAGCGCGAGTGTGCAGCTGCATGTGTTAAACGGTGAGTGGAACATTTTACCGCTTTAGGACAAAAAGTTTGTAAAAAATTAAAATTAAAATGCGGACAACGGTGTTTCAAACTTTTCTTTTTCCCTGAACGTAAACTTTTGTATTACACGTGATTCACTGTTTTCGAGATACTTTTTTTCGCACAGACTTTTGCAAAAAAGTTTTGTAAAAAAGCACTTGATAATTAACTCATGTAATATAAACTTTTACAAAAAAAAAAAAAAGCACTTGATAATTATAATTCACATAGCGATGAATAAATGCGATATGAATACGAGATTACGGTTTTCGTTGCAGTCTGTTTAATCTCGTATATTTTATTATTATTGTTATTTTATTAAATATACATATATTCGATGATTTTCTAGGGGAACACCCCGCGGCTATACAAAGAGGCATCAGTTCAGCGCCAGGTGGCTGTCCTACTCTATGGTGGCTGGCAGGAGTGGTGACACTGTACTCGAGTCACGGCAGTCGTCTATTCGTCCTCGTTCTTCTGATCCTTATGGTTCTCTACTCGAAAAATCCATCTTGCTTTGCGACGGAACGATAATCAGACAAGACCGCAAGGATGGTATACGCGTATAATCGATTATCTCCTGCTACGAGACCCCGACTACCTCGAGAGAAGAGATCCTCGATGTTGCGGACCGATTTTCAGAGATCAAGGACAAAAAGGACGAGGATGAAAGGATTAGGAAGATAGAGGGTAATACGATAAAGAGAAAGAGAAAGATCGGAGGAAAGAATAATGATCCCGGAGAGGTAGTATGTTTTTTCTCCGTACGCGTGAAGTAAGAGTTAGAGATTCATCTCGATTATCGAGACAGTGATCCGGCCGTTAGAAATTAGGAATTAGTTTATTATATGAATTCTTGTTAAATTGCTGCGAGAAGCTATACGTGCTGGAGAAGCTACGAAATTTTTGACGTTGTCGGAAATATAAATTAGGTCGAGCTTGAACAACGGGTAGTTCGTGAACGTCTTGAAAACTTCCAATTGAAAATCCGAGGCAAGTTGATAATTTTATTTGTTAAAACTTATCGAAACTATATTTATTCGATTATGTCAATTAGAAATTTTATCCGAATAAAATAACGTTATTATTTTCTTTTTACTGTTGATAAACTATTACAGCGGATATTATATTGAGTTTACTTTGTTTTTCTAAAGACGCACTTTTACATTCGCAGAATCGTTTCACGTATTTCCCGTTTGTTTAGCCCGACAAGGTAGAAAGTTACGAAATCTCAAAAAATGGACGCCCGAAAAACGATCACGATCGTGAGATCCTATCGTGAGGGCGTTGGGTGGTTTCGTAGCACCCATTACAGGAACAAGAAAGCGATAACGTGACGAGAAATTTATAGAAAGGAGAGAAACGACGGTAGGAAAGAGTAAGAAAGAAAACGAATGAAAGAGAAACGTCGACGTAGAGGAAGAACCGCCACGAGACTGGGAAAAAGCAGAAAAACTTCGTCCGCGCCGCTCCAATAGAATTGAAACTTGTTCGATGAATTTTCGAAATGCGATGTAATTAATTATATTCGATAGCGACCGATTACAACAAAGCGTGTCTATACTTGACGTCTACCGCGTGATCTGGGGATCGTCCTGAGACCGAGCGATCTCGGCCATCGTCTCTTAGACGATTTGTCGATACGCGCGCCGAAAACGATTAGAATCCTCTTTTAAATTTATCCGTCGGCGAGATTATTCCAAGACCGTGTATGGAAAAGCAAGCTTATACAAGATGGAGAAAGGAATCTTGGATCAAAGTGTGTGTGACCCTATTAAGAAATGTGAAAATGTTATTGCTATTAATAACACGGCGATAGTACTCGAGGTAAAGAATTCATATCAAACACGACAAAGTTTTGCCCATATCAAACTCATAGTCACGATATTCTGATATTTCCAGCACCAAGCCAAAATTAAAACGAGTATAGCTGCGATAAAATTATGAAATTTATACAAAGAATTTTTATATCCGGGCTCACATCGATCGCGCGAGTAAAATAAAACGAGATACAATGTTGGTGTAACTATCATTGCCTCTATAAATACTTGACCGTTGTCAAAGGCGTCGCAGGTGTCTCGAGACGATCCGCGATGAAAATTTTGGTAATTAAAGCGCATTGAGTATACACACGTCGATCAAAATATATCATACGTCCGCGCATGCACAGGCTAACTCACCGCGACGCGGGCCGTACAGACTGCCGCATTTTCCACTGATTGCTCCTTTGTGCGTCGTCTCGCGACTTCGGAAATATCGCGTTTTTTTTTTTTTTTTTTTTTTTTTTTTTTTTTTTTTTTTTTATAGAAAATCGAAGATTTTCCCTTTAGGAACGTAGAGAAATTAAATACTGCCGATACGCGCGCGCTCGAGAAATTAAATACTGCCGATAAGGTCTCTTTTTATCCTTTGAGAAAAAAAAAGTCCTAAATATCACAACCTTTTCTACATTAAACGTTTATTCATACGTTGGACGACGTTAAAGGAAGGGAGGCGTTTGTTTTGTATAAAATTTACATAAACATATGATATTACGTAGTATATTACATCGTGTGTGTGGCGCGTCAAATTTCACACGTATTTCTGAATCCCATTCAGACCCGCCTATACGATGAATTTCTTTCTCCTATATAATACGAGTCGTCAAACGTCTCGTCGTAGCAATAGGCGAGTACTTTCGATATCAACAGGGATACTTTTTGATAACGCATATTTCCACAGCGGTTTTGGCCCGCGGCGCGTCGCCTCTGAGCATGATCGGTTGTATATAATTTAGCGGATGAGCGTACGGCTTTCCGGTGGGCGCCCGCGCGCCCCCCGCGAATTTGCTTTCTTCTCGCAAATACTAGAGAGGTTGGGGAGGGAATACTGTTTTTTATAATATTATATATAAATATATATATAAATATATATATATACAAACGAACAGAAATATATATATGTATATGTGTACGCGCGCAAATACGTTGCACATGGGTGTTGAATATTGAACAAGTTTCAGCTCGCACGAACGAGGGGCGCATATAAAGTGACTAGAGCGTACGTTCTCGTTGAGAAAATTCTTAAAGAAATGTCTTGAAAGGGATACGAGGGAAAAGGGAGAGAGAAAGAGAGACAGTGACTGACAGAGAGAGAGAGAGAGAGAGAGAGAGGGAGCGAGAGGAGAGAAAAAAGGGGAGAGAAGAAAATATACCGTAGAACACGAGGACAGCGGCAGGAGACGAACGATTCGTTAGAATATCTACGATTCATGTGATTGTAAATAACGTAACATAGCGTATAAATAACGTAACGTTAATTAATGATATGCCGTACGTGTTACGCTAAAGAAACAAGAAAAAAAAAAATAAACTAAAATAACGTTACTGTGTAATTTTTCGGATCGTAAAACGCGCATTGGAAATGAGTCTGGCCGCCCGTGCTAACCGGCTCGGGAATCATGCACGGTATCGGGAGGCAACGAGGAATTTCTTACGAGCTTTCTACAATAAGCCGTTACCTAGGCTTTAAGCCTCTAAGCCGCGCAGGAAATTGACCAATCACAGTCGAATGGGAGAAAAATAATCGACTACGATAGGTGGTCGATTTCTTACGGCTTATGATTTAAAGCTTGGGATAATGGCTCACACCGTGGAAAGCCCGCATTACCGGCAAAAGAGACGCCGCGCACCACACACACACACACGTATACGATGTTCCCAGAAATCGAAATCGTCCGACGAAATTTCCGTTTCGATGCGAACATTTTATCGCGGGGATACTCACTCGCCTCACGGCGTCGTCCGGATGTAATCGAAGGAGAGATTCTTAACACGCCCGTCGCATTTAGCCGCAGCACTTCCGGCGCGAATCGCCGTCGGGCGCTTATCGCGGAGATCGGCATGAATCACACACTACGTGGAGGACCGGAGGCGGAGAACACGCCAGGCGTGCACGCTTTTCCGTGGCGCGTCGCTGTGTCCGAGTTTTGGGATGAGTATAGCGGAGCGCGCACGTTTTCCCGTGATGAGCGCGCTCGTGGATAGCACGGGCCGGCCACACACGCGACTAGATGTAACACTAATTAACGCCTAGCAGTAAGCGAACTAACGCGGATATAAATGCAGATATATCGTCGGACATAATAGCCAGGCGAGGCGAATGCGCGAGCGGCTGTGTGCGTGCGAGCGGTACGGTTGGTGCTTTAAACCGTGTGAGCCTGTTTTTGCGCGAGTAAGGAAGAGAGAGAGAGAGAGAGAGACCCTGAGAACGAGGCGCGAAAGAGAATGAGAGAGAGAGAGAATAAGCCACACACGAAAATACGTAACATACACACACACGTACGAACAACACATACACATGATATACAGAGAGAAGTTCGTTGGACTGACGTGAACTGAGACGTTGGTCGAATGACACATTTTAAGATTAAAAAAAAAAGGGTCGATCGGGGACGCGTAGTTACACCTTCTTTATATCGTCTCCGTCTTTCCTTCTTCCCGCGCCTCGCGGGGCCGCTTCTAAAGCAACGAAGAAAAGGGCTGAAAACAGTCCTCTGTGAGGCCGCGGTGAAACTTTACTACCCTTTTCCCTTTTCTTCAACGCAGGCCTCCCCCTCGCGGGGTGGAAGAAGGAACATCGTGCTCTCGTCCCCGTCACCCTTTTGCTTCGACGCGAGAAAGGGGAAGTAATTTAAAGAGAAGATAGCAGGAGAGACGGCGGGACGGCGAAAAAACCCAGTCAAGAAACGTCGTCTTATGATCTAATTATAACGTCGTAGAACAGCATTAAAATTTTTGTACCAAAATCTATCCTGTAGTCCTTAAATGTCGCGTACACTTCATTTTCTGTTTCCGTTCGACGTTGCCGATCGCGGGCTTACTCTATTTATTCTTAGGAGTCTTTTTTTTTTTGCGAAAACACCGCGAGGAAGCGAGTGAAACTTACCGAAAATACCCTCTTGCAAATTCTTCTCAATCTGCTTTAAAACTCCCGGACCGTCAACGCGATCGTACATATTTCTCCTGGCGTATTTCGCATGCGAATAAATCGACTCGAATAAATCAACTTCTTGCGTGCCACTGCTTCACGTTTCTTAAAGCAAACCTTGTAAGTAGAGCGCGAGAATGATATGATTGCTAATCGCGGTGTGGGAGTTTTTTTTTCTTCAAGAAACTGTCTGATTAATATAATGAGCGATCCGCGCCGAACGTATATAGAAACGCGTGCCGAGAGCGATTACAAATCCCGAGGTGTGGACATAGAGGGTTGTTAGTGGTTTTGACTCAGATTGTCGGAATTTTAAGAGCCTTGTTCGATGGTCGGTTAACAAGTCAAACCGGACGTTGTTTAAATATATATCTAATTAATAAAATAAATTTACATCCTGTAATATTAAAAATTTATAATCAGAATTTTTAGCGACGATTGCCTATTTTAAGAGCCTACTATATAATCCCGGAATTATATCGCTAAAAATTTTATGTCTTTTGCTTAAATATTTCTATTGTACTCTTACGTAACGTTTTCTTACATGAAGTATTAAACGTGTTTTATTTTAACTTGTTAAATATGTTAAATGTTTTTATAAAATATTTATAACGAATGTTAAACGTGATATACACAAAACATAGTTTAATTTTGTGTTTAATAATAATAATATATATTTTATATTATAGTAATTTATTGTTTTTTTTTTCAATCGAACTCTGTTTTTAAAATTGTTTGTGATTACTATTTCTGTCCTATTTTGTCCGATTAGATTTTGATCCTAAGGAGGAAATATCCAGTAACTTAAGACTTTTAGATGCGGCAACCCTCTAGATGGACACCTTGTTTCGAGAGTGATGTTTGTGACCGTCCTGACAGTACGATGTGCTCTTACGCGTAGATAACACAAGTTAGATGTTCTTTCCGAGATAATAGGCTATATCTAAGAAGTACGAGCGATACGACACCGACGCCGTTGTCGTTGTCGACATCGTCGGAAGGAAGGATGAAAGATGAGTGGGACGCGGTGACCCAGAAATAGATCTCTATCGAATCGGAGATTCCAATTTCGACGTGATCCATCCGCGCTGCCGCACCGTCGAACGGTCTCGAAAAATTCTTTGTGAAAACGGAAGAACATTCCGGAAATCGATTACGCAGCTCTGTATGTGTACGTGTGTGAGAGAAAGAGAGAGAAAGAGAGAGAGAGAGAGAGAGAGAGAGAGAAAGAAAGAGAGATTGAGAACAGGTCACCGTAAAAAGATTTCGAGACGAGCAGCAAGCAGAATGTTATCGAAGAACTTTTTAGACAAGAAGTTAGATGTTGAAGACTGTAAAATGGTACTAGCCTTGCACGCGGAGAATGTATATGTAATACATGACTGTTGTAATTTTAACCCTCCACCGCTCTTATTCCACTGAGAGCAACCGACTAGTGTCGCGTAACAAATTTCCTATCCCGACGATGTACTTGATAATGATCGTCCGCACGTTACTTTTTTTCCTCGATTGTGGAGGGTTAGAAGAACGATTTGAAAAACCCATTTGTCGCCGATCGGCACCCTCGGGACGACGGATACCTCGTTAACTACGCGGATCCACCGATGACATTCGCGAGAAATGCATCGTGCGATCACGCGATTGTTGCACGCGAGCATTGTAAAGCTCCCGAACGACTCGAGAGGCTCGACGAATCATCGCGAATTATATTATGGAGTAACAGATCATTACGTTCGATCTCTTCAGCGAGACGTACACCCGGGTAATTATTTATATTGTCGGACGGATGCATGCGATCGACATCATAAATCAGGAGCTCCGATAAGTCAATCGCAAGCGATTGAGTTCGACAACGTCCTATTAATGTTGAAAGCGAGATCCTACGTTACGGGCCGTTTTCGTTGACGACACGCGACAGATCACACTATAGTAAGGGGTCTAATTAATCACTAACGCAACACACGTCTGCCGATTCGAACGTTCGACGAAGGTGATTTACGGCTGCCACCGCCGTAAAGGGTGGACTATAACGGAAATCAAGAAGCCGCAGAGGGGTGAGAGGAAAGACGAAATTTGTCGAGCGCGCGGATAAGCGGACGATCGATTTAAAAAAAATAAGCGTAAGTTAAAAAAAAAAATAAACAGCAAGACACTCTGGAAATATTCCTCGAGGCAAGCCTCGTCTCGTGGATTCGCGTCTGTACACCTAAAGCGCTTTTAGGGTTAACGAGAGGAAAATAGAACCTTAACGAATCTACGAGATGATGCCGAGGAAAGCGAAAGATATTAGTGCGAATGTGGGAAGATATGCGGAGCGAAAGTTTAAAATGTGCGCGTGTGAGGTGCACGTACGAGAGTGAGAGAATGCGAAAAAAAAAAAGAGTGAAAGCGCGATAATAAATCAATGTTAAACCCATCATTACCGGACTCGCAATTTTGGGAGACAAATCTTCGTTGACCGCCGTTTCTACGTATAAGTTTAGTCTCGTTTTTCGGAAGCTGGACGCGACACGCCCTTTCGGCGCCCGATCGCGGTCCGCATGATACTATTTATTGGACTTTAGACGGACGTGGGATGGAATTTATTCGTTATTCGCATCGAGCACAAGCTCAATCTTTTACCAACGGCAGACAGATGGGCGGACGCGATCGACGTCGAACGGAGCCCCGTCCACGAGAGAGTACTCTTTACATACCAGTTTCAGCGTTTCCGTTTTTAACCTATTGTGGCGAGAAACGGGACGAAGAGCAGTCCCGTTCTATGTGTGTAAGAACCATAAAAGCTTAATAAAAGAAAAAAAAACATTATACTATGAACTTACGGAATACCTAATAAAAAGTAAGCCAAACACCGTTAAGACGTGTTTTATTTCTTTTGCTCCTTTGTACATTGTATTGCATGTCTCTTATGGCATTGTATTAATTAAAATAATCTATCTTACATATGTATTTATCTCTCGTATTTATCATCGATTTAACACGTGCGTTATTACTATTTATTTAGAAAAGTAAAGAAAAAAACATAAATTACGTAGACATAAATTGCGATACACATTACACAAAGGTATAAACTAAGAAAATTTATTAAATCCATAGTAGAAAATAAATAAGCTCTATAGTTTAGAATGGAAGAAATATCACTTCAATCTTTTAATTCATAGGATATTATAACAAACCTTTCTTTTTTAAACCATAGATCACAGAATATTATAAGGAACCTTTTTTTCTTACTTAACCTTTTCTATATTTTCAGAGTTCGTATGTTGCTTGCACTGAGCAATGATTCTTTGGAAGATGAAGAGGTACATTACGCCGATAAGTCTCAATGGGCCCATTAGAAAAACTTGTACGAACAGTTGACGAAACAGCTTGACCGGCGACATTCCCGCACACAATGTCATCATAATAAAACCTTCAAAACCAACGGAAGAGAAGAAATTGCTTGCCTGAAACATATCATCGTTTAATGAAGAAGATTATGGCAAAATAATTTTTAAATCATTATTTTTTCATATACTAACCAACGCATCCTCGAAAAGCTTGTCAGCAACGACCTCGGGCTGAACTAACTTCGCCACCTGTGATATGGCTTTTGTTTCTATTGGCTTTGACAACTCTTCGATGGCATAACCAGGTGTGTCTGTATCCGGTGGTAAACACAAAGTGACAGAAATGTTATAAGGCTGTAATTCCATAGCCAAGCTCTCTGCCAAGCCACGGATTGCGAATTTCGTACTGCAGTAAGCGGTGTATCCAAAGATACCTGCACAATGCATTTTCACGTTTCATATAATGTTTATATATAAAACTATAATTAACATATGTTTTGGTATAGATAATTTATTATGCAAATACCTAGGAGACCAGCTTGAGATGACACAAGTACAATCACTCCTTCTTTGGCAGCTTTCATTCTTGGTGTTACAGCCTTAATACAGTAATATGTGCCTAAGAAATTTGTGCGCATCATTATATCCAGATTCTTTGGAGTGGTGTCTTCTATTTTGCTTGGTATCGCAAGACCAGCACAATTTGCAAGCATATAAATAGGACCCATATCATTTTCCAAATTGACCAATGCTTTCTCGACGGTGTCATAATCTGTTCCAATGTCTAAAGAAAGATATTCGACTCTTTGTGTATCTTTGTTTTCACATGCTTGCAGTATTTCACGTTTAGCCTTCTCCAAATTCTGTACATTTCTCGCAATTATCGTGACGTTTGCTCCTTTCTTCGCAGCAAGAATCGCCACACATTTTCCAATACCGCTAGAGCCACCGGTCACCTATACAAAACAATATTTTATATTTATAAGATGAATAAATCAAGAGAGAGACTTAAGAGAGATTTTAATATTCAATTCAATATAATTTCACATTCTGAATCATGAATTATAACAGCATTTTTTCGAAATTCAACGACGCTTACGACAACGTGTTTCTTCCTAACGTCTTTTATCTTTTTTGTCCAAAAGAAATGTTCGTACACAAACAGAGTACCGAATACGATAACTGACAAAAGAATGAATCCTATAATACTATACAAGCCATATATTATCGCGTTGTATGTATAAAGAAGATCAGAACTAAGGCAATCGCGCGAGAAATCCATCTTGCAAGACACGTGTGAGTTCGTTAGTTCTTTCCAGCCAGTTCCAGCTAACAATGAACAATGAACGAAACGACTCAACAGGAAGTAAGAACCTTTGAATCAGAACCTTTAGGCCTGTTCTTTTTACTGAACTGGTGCACAGAGTGCAATAAGTTGAAGTGAAACAGATATACGTTTATTTCACTTCAACTTATTGCACTATCTGCACCAGTTCAGACAGTGCAGGTAAAAAGAACAAGCCTTTTGACTCTGATGGTTATAATTCTCCTCTCACTCTCATATACCTACGGTCGATAAATTCACGCTATCTGCAGTCGTCAAATCAGTGTTTTTTATCTCCATTATCTTATCAAGCTGGAAATACTACATATACATATATGCTCTTTCTTTCTCTCTCTCTCTCTTACACACACACACACACACTAAATATTAATTAAAAACTATCGATCCTCTAGCTAAGTTTTTATAACTATTAATTAGTAGATGGAAATTATGCCCCTAGAGACCTGGAGGTAATTAAAGAGCAATGACACTCTCTTTTTTCCTACATTAGAGATAAGTAAATAATAAATGGTTCAATTTATCCGCAGTCATTGTTGTATCATTTTAATATGTTTAAATTTTTTACGTAGCTTCGATAGAATTATAAAAAATAAAAACAAAAATTAACTTATAAATTGCCATAAATAAGAAAATATTTTGCATTTTTTTTATTTAATCAAAATTTAAAAATAAAATATATATATATATTTATATGATAACTCTAATTTATTTCTATTTTTTTACGTTAGAATTATTATTCTATTCTATTTAACATAATAAATAGTTATGAATATAATACATATGTTATTTATTAATTAAATCTTTTCACTTTATATAAGAGGTTCCTAAATTGTTTGTTCAATTTACAGCTTTTATTATCAGGTATGTAAATTTTATCGATAAACATTACCGATAATAAAATTACGATTTTGGAATATAAAATAAATCCAGTTATGTGAAATTAAATTTATCCAAAATTGGCTCTTTGAATAATAAAGCTCATTTTGACTACCTGCGTTATTTTAAAATATTGCTTCTTATTCTAGTCATAATACTGCTGAGAGAACATTAGTGCGCAGTGAATTTTTTAAGTCATACTAGATTATTATCTCGTCGGTGCCTCCCACACACCAAAGGCAATTCAACTACTGAATTTTACTAAATTTCATTGAATTGAGTAATATATAATTTTTTTAGCAAAATTCTTATATTTTATCGCATTCGGTTCTTGGCGAAAATAATAATTGAAATATAAGTCGAATGTAAGAAAAGAGTGATAGAAGCGTACACAAAATTTTTAGGAAGCAAAAATTGAAGCGAAACGTAAAAGAGGCATTTACTCTTCTTTTATGAAAATAGAAGTAATTCTACGGTAACATGACAGCAAAACATAAAAGAAGTGTAAACTTTTTGTCTCAATATTCACATCTAAAAAGCTTCGTTTACGCTTCTGTTACTGTCTCCTTACATTCGACTTACAATCCAACTTTTATTTTCATCAGGATTCATTTGTTTCGACCTCTATTTGGCATCAAAGATTTTATCTTTTTTCCTCTCATTCATTAATAGATAATTAAAATACTTCGAAGTCAGAGACGAGATAGCGTTTTTTGCACTACCTGTGTATTTCATTGTGATGAAAAAATGCACAAAAACTTGAGATTAGAATTTTTACCGAATTTACCACTGCAGTATCGAACTGATACTACGACCAACTACATTACCGACCGCTTCTTGGCTCGCAGACTAAATTCCCATGAAAATTGCTTAGAAAAATCTATTCGTCGAGAAAGTTATGAATAATTTTATTCTTCTCGACAAAATTTTATTTCTCTTATGTGATATTTATGAAAAACATAAAAATGAAGAAACACAAAACCGAGAACCTGATTACATATTGCACGCATCGATCGCGTTATTCTGGTTGCATACGAATAGGCGCCAAGGGACGACCTCTCGAAACCTTCCCTCGCTAAGGGTGCCGCACTTGCTTCTCTGTTCGCCGGTATCCGAAGACGTTCTAATGGCGGTAAAACAGCGCTCGATCCTACCAAGACTTACATTCGAGACTTTGAGAATTAGAAAAAAAAAATGCATGAATGAGAGATTCTTAATTATTCCGTGAAATCGAAACAAGAAAGCCGTCTCGCGAAAACAGAAGCAATTCTACGTGTAACGTGTATAGATTGGTGCGTAGATACATGTGTGTGATTGCATGCATCCACAAGCGCTCAGTCATCAATGCAGCCAGAATCCATTACGCCACTAAAACCGCGACGCGACCTCAACGATTTCGGTTCATAATCTATTATGGTTAACGTATAATAACCCGCTGCAAGATTTATACTCGATGATCATATTGCAATGATGAATGTAGCGCAATTACTATTTTAATGTACATCAAAAATTGCATCGTAATTATACACGAAATATGTTTTTTATTGAAAACAGAGAGAAAGAGAGAGAGAGAGAGAATATTATTTATTATGCGTTTAGAGATAAATCCTCAGTTTAGAAATTAAGTAACAAGAAATTTGTTTCTTATACAGTGAAATGCATTAAAATTCTTCTTCTGCTGTATTTTCGCAAAAAAAAGCTTAAATTTCATATATCTGTTTCACTTCAAATACAAAAAGTATACACATATAAGTATTGGTTCATCAGCTATAAAAAACAAACCTGGAATATACATTAATTTCAATTCATGTAGAAACAATATTGTACAAAACAAACGTATTCTCACAATTGCATAACATAACATGATATAAAGTCAAGTTAATGTAGTATATTTTATATTAAAATATACGTAACAATATATACATATAATATTATATTGCTATAATAATATTATACTATTATATTAAAACAATTTTATAAAATTGGAGAGAGAGAAAGAGAAAGGCGGGGAGCGTGAGAGAGAGAGAGAGAGGGGGGGGGGAGAGGGAGGGAGAGCACGCAATCCGACGCGACACCAGTGACGTCACGCATTGCGAAAATTTCCGGAATACGGAACGCATGCGTCGAAAAGTTGCAGGATAAGCCCCCTGGAGTACGTGCATTCACCCCCGTGTTACCATAGTGCAAACCGCCACATCCCCCACCCCGTCCCTGCCGTTATCCTTCGCGCAAAAGGTCACGTACCACCACCCTGTCGATCGTTCACCTCGTCCTGGGACTCGCTCCTGGTAGCCAGGTTAAAGCGGAAGATACGAAGGAAACACTTACGCACCGCGGTGATTCTCCGGATAAACAAGATTTGACAGTTTACTAGCGCAACTCACTGTGCTGTGTGATCTCAAGGCAGGGATATCGAGTCAGATAAGTTAAACAACATCGCGAAATGTCGTTACAGTTATTCCGAATAGTTATAGTAGTAAAAAATTAATTTCTCAGACGATAGTAGGTATGTCTTTACGTATCGCAAAAAGCTATATAGATTTACTAAACAAATCAAATGATATCACTGTTAATGATTATTACATCCGGCAATTTGACTAGCTTGATAATTATGGAGATCGCGTCCTATCGTGTATCATGTTTCATAAAGAAGTATATCATATATTATTATATAGTCTGTTGTTATAAATTACAATCCGTCAATCCGTTGCTGGATCGGATTAAATCGGCAACGAAATTTGTGAACTTTTACTCTGCCACTATAACCGAAGAAACGTATCTAATTTCAACGGAAGGTGATCACAGATAAACGGAAGATAAACCGATCATCCGCGTGCGGAAATGTCGATCAGGCTCGAATTCTCTTTTGGAAGAGATTACCCCCGTTAAATCACTTGGAAGAATGAACGGGGGTTACAACGAGAACGTCATCGCGATCCGCGGTCGAGACTCGTCGCGGGGTTGCGAGAGCTGCGGCAGTCCGGAGCCGCGATTTTGGACATAGAGGAGAGCGAGCGTACATTGCACCCAACAGAAGGGAGTGTCCCGAGCCGGTGCACACCCTCCTCCCTCGCAGCCCCCAGGCCCCTGACTCCCGGCCAGTACCCCGCCTGCCGTGATAGCCTAGCTACGATCCTGGATTCCGTGTCTCCCGGGCTGCACCGGGGGGTGAACGCCCTCGCCTGACCCAGACTCAGAATCGATCTCCATTCGTTGCACGGTGTGTTAGCAAACCCCCTCGACGTCCCAACCACCCCCGTTTGCGCGGGCTGCCGCCGCCGCCGCCGCCGCCGACACTCCCTATGCACGCGAGAGAACGGCTACCCTCTCGTCGTACTCGCGGATTTTCCACGAAACCGCGCCGTCGTAATCTTAGGAAAAATACGGGGCGAGTCCCGACGCGGAATCGGAAATGGACGACGAGGGAGCGACGAGAGAATGAGCGCGCGCGCGGATGCATTTCGCACTCGCGGCGAAGTGCAATAAGTACGTGATACACGTCGCGGCGAAGTTTCGGCCGGGGAAAAACTATGATCTGTGTGGCACGTGTCGGCAAGCCGACGCAAGTACGCCAGGTAGCCGTTTCTTTGCTACGCGCTGTCGCGGTCGCGATGCATAAAACGCTCGCTCGCGCGAGCGCCAGACGGACGGGGTAAAAAGAATTTACGTATGGGGAACGTACGCGTCGCGTATTTACCGATGCTCAAAGTAAAAAAGCGCGAGTGCTCTCTCTTTTATTCATATCCCGACCATCATCGGAAAAGCTCGAAAGCCGAAATCCGATTTGTTTACGGGATATTCGGATCGTGGAGATTGGAGAGAATGCGATTTCGTTCCCGCACGCGTTCCGTCCTGCGTCCTCTACGCGGGACTGAAGAGAAGTTTTTCGATTCCTCTGTCAAACGGGATACGACGACCCGACACGCTAACGAGGAAGCGAGACGCGATTACTTATGGCCGAGAGTAAATTCGCGGCGACTGCAGGGAAAGATGAGACTCCGCAACGGCGCGGCACTGTGTACACATAAATCGTGTTATAACGAAGAATTCGAATGTCCGTTGATGGCACGCTGTCTATTCTAGGACTCGCAC